ATGTAGATGGGGTCCTTAAGCTAAGTTGATGACAAAGAGGCAGAAATAGCTCATCTCCAAGATTCAAATGTTTAACAAGGTAAGAAAATCTTTCACAGGATTCAGATGTTATCGCATTCTTAGCTTTAGGGTTGATGGAGGACAGGTGTCTACCAAATTTGTTCAATATCCAAAGAGTTTTGTCTGGTAGTCATGCTGCCTGCAGGACAACTTTCTAAATATAATTGTTATCTTTCTCCTTAAAACTCTCGAATGGCACCATGTTCTTTATAGGATTAAAAGCTGAAATCATTAACAAGATATATATATATATATATATATATTTTTTTTTTAATTATTCATTATATATTTATTATGATGATGATACAAATATGACTGACCATGGCCCAGAAACACAGGCTCAAATTAAATGGTATGATATGGTATCTATACACACCCATACACACACACACACACACACACACACACTCTCTCTCTCTCTCTCTCTCTCTCCATCTTTCTTGATTCATCCCTTACTTACCTTTCCACCTCATTTTTTCTTGTTCCCTTCTGAGGTAGGCAAATATCCACTTTTTAAAGCTCTGGGACCTATAAATATGTTATACTTACATGACAAGGGTGAATTAAAATTATTGATAGGATTAAGGTTTCTTATCAACAAGATTTAAAATAAATTATCCTGGTGTCTTAGTTTGGGCTACTCTAACAAATACCGCAAACTGGGAGGCTTAAATAGCAAAAATTTATTTCTCCCAGTTCTGGAGACTGGAAGTTCAAGACCAGAGTGCCAGCCAGTTTTGGGTTCTGGTGAGGGACTTTTTCCAGCTTGTTGTCTGTTGACTACTCATTAAATCTTCACATGGTAGAAAGAGAGTTAGCTAGCTTTCTGGCTGCTTCTTATAAGGGCACTAATCCCATTCATAAGGGCTCCATTCTGTTAATCTAACTATCTCCCAAGGTCTCTGTACCCAAATACCATCACATGAGGATTAGAGTTTCTAACTTAAGAATTTTGAGGTGACACATTCAGTCCATTGCCCTGGAAGATAGAGGAGTTAACATCAGAGTGAGACAATGTGAAAAAGTCTCAAGTGGCTTTGAGAAGAGTGAGGGGACCATAATCCAATGAATAAGTGTTAAAGTCAAATGCTGGCAAGGTTGGGTTCTTCTGAGTTTTTTTTCTCCTTTTGGCTCACAGATGGCCATCCTCTTGCTATCTTTTTAAATGGTCCCTGCTTTGTGTATGTGTGTCCCTAGAATCTCTTCCTTTTCCTATAAATCATATTGAATTAAAGCTCTGCCTTAATGGCCTCATTTTAACTTAATTATCTCTCTAAAGACCTTATTTTCAATTATAGTTACATTTGGAGGCACTAGTGGTTAGATCTTTAATATATGAATTTGGGTATGTATGGGGACATAATTTAGTTTGTACCAGAACACCAACTACAAAAACAAACCTTGAGTATAATAAAAAGTTGATTAAATGAGAAAATCAGAGTTGATGCTTTCTGGAAATACATAAGGCCACAGTTTTCCCTTTCTTTCTCAGTTCACTTTTTCTCTCTTTCTCTCTTTTTCTGGGTATAATTTAGGTACAGTAAAATAGTGCCGCAGTCTGGCTGAGCACAAATCACGAGCCACTCAAGCAGGAACAAACTTTATTTTCCAAACTCCCGCGAACCGGCCCTCCCAGGCACACCACACACCAACTGAACCACCGGAACTTCACCAACCAATGCAAACTCCCCAGGAATCCCTGTGAGAACTCCAAAGTAGCGGGCGCCCGAGTTAGACAGCAGGGGTCTATATACAATTGAATACACAACCTGTTTCAATCCAGTATCATCTTAATGGCTCGCCTTTCAACCATTACTTCTGGCAAAATGCCAGGGGCCATTCCGACTCAGCTGTGGCTCTCAACAAAATAGACCCTTCTAAGTGTTGTGTAACTACCACATTCAATTAGGTTTTTATAATCAAGTTTACAGGATGGATAGGAATAAAATGTTTACATTTCAGTTATATTTTTAATTTTTTGTTTGTTTGTTTTGGAAGGCTGAAGAACCTATTAGTAAGTTAGAGTCAAGAAACAAAGTAAACAAACTTAGGTAATGATAGAAAAAGTAAAGTAGAAAAACATTTTTCCTACTAAATGGTCTGAAGGGTAGAAGATTGATTGCCTTTTTGCAATTGCAGTGTTTATATTCTTTACAGACTATCCCTGTCTTTACCTATCCAAAAGAAATTTAAAATTCAATCATATTACATTTATCTTGACTTTCGTTTTTTTTTTTTCCAAATAAGTATTTTTTTATAGGTGGACACAATATCTTTATTTTATTTTTAAGTGGTGCTGAGGATCAAACCTAGTGCCTCACGCATGCAGGCGAGTACTCTACCACCGAGCCACACGCCCAGCCCTATCCTGACTTTCTTAATGTTCCCAAATATGTTTTCTTTTCTCCATTATCTTTAGCCACTTTTATACGTACGGTCTATACCAGTCATACATCTATGAAGCTCTGAGTCAATAAAGAATAAACCATGAATGGATCCCCACTTAAGTGGTGTAGACTATTATTTTAAAACAATACAGCAGAAAACTGTTACTTTTGGAATTCTAATTTAGGTAGAAAAATAATTTATAGTCTTTATTACTTCAGGAATTCATATTACACTCTTTCATTTGAATGACGATAAAATAAATTTCTTAAGGTCGTATGTCTCATCTGAGCTATAGTCACATTTACAACTATTTTCATCATCTCTCTCAACCTCTCTGAAATCAGAGTTCCATTTCTTGGATTTTATTCCATCATGTTGGCATTTTATGCTTCCAGATTCCACTGTTATCCATTTATTTTTTCCTTTCTTTGTTATCAATTAAGTAGGAAATTCCGACAAACTTGATTTGTATATGAGTGTGTATGCGTGTAATAATAAAGTTAATAGCTTCCTACTATCCTTGCCTCTTTCAGTTGTTCCAATGGCACCTATCATTATCTAGCATGCAATACAGCATTCTTGTTTATTGTCTGCTTCTCCCCACTAGAATGTAAGCTTCATGAAGACAGAATTTTGTCTATTGTTTATTGCCATACTCCCACTGGATAAATTCCACACCATGTTAACTTTCTATCACTATTGACAAAGTACCTGAGAAAAACAACCTAAAAGGAGGAAAGATTTATTTTGGTTTAAGGTTTCAGATCCAGGTGGGTGGGTTGGCTGGTTCCAATGCTTTAGACCACAGGGCAAAGCAGAAGGAAAAAAAGACTTGGGGTCAAGATATAGCTTCCAGGGATTAATCCATCCATGATATTAGAGTCCTCATGATCCAATCACTTCCCCAAAAGCCCCCTTCTGAACATTGATGGAGACCAAGCTTTCAACACATGAACTTTTCTGGGACAAACCGGATCCAAACTTTTAACAAGCACTTACTAGGGTAATGCTTACATACAATATCTCACTTAATTTTATCACATGAAAGAGATCTTTCATTAGTTCCATTTTAAGATAATAAAATTGTTTCTTTTTCTTTTCTTTCTTTCCCCTTTTTTCTTCCCCCTTGAGATAAGGTCTGGTTGTGTTGCCCAGGAAAGCCTTGAACTCATGGGCTCCAAAGATCCTGCCTAAATATCCTGAGTATCTGTGCCCAGTGAGTTATATTTTTTGAAAGACTAAATAACTTGCCCAAAGCCACACAACTGATTGTTCATAAAGTAAGTGGTAGAGCCAGATTCCACTTTCCCCCTAAACCTTAAGCCCATTTATACATTCATAACATTCCAATTCCTCAATCTAAGTTTTAAGACAGAAAATATCAAAGACCCTCAACTTACCTTGTTTCTAATTTCTACCCCAAACCACCTGCTCTTGAAGTTTTCCTTCAAATTTTGCTCAGATGAATTCCCTATGGAGATCTTATCTAGCCTTTGACTCTGAGGTTCAGTGCAACATCACCTCTGCCCTTAATTATACCTGAATATTTCAGGATATGAATTCCTCTTCTTCAATATTTTCCACATGGCTTTGGAGGCTGTTGGTCACATAACACTTCATATAGCTAAGTCCCCTTCCGTGTATCTTTGTTGACACCCCAAAAATTCAATTAATGGATTATCTTTTGTATTCCTGCCTGAGTGAGGATTCTTAAGGCAGTAACTGGGTGTGTGATCTTTGTAAAGAGTATTCTTCTGTTTAATTCCCTAGGTCTGATATCACAGCTTTAAAAAGCTAGCATTTTAGTTGAAAGGAAGCAGCGCATAGATGAACTAAATAAAGCATTTAAAGGGTTCGTGGAGGTAAAATGAAAATGTCTGCTGGACAGTGCGAAGGGGAACTGTAGGTTTCGCGCTAAGATTCAAGGATGGCAGGAGGTTTGTGGGGATTTCGCGCCTCGTCGGGGTCCTAAGGTCTGAGGTGCTTTTGGCGCCCTATTGTCTCACCCTGGCTCGGGCTCTCTTTGCACAGGGCGACGAGTCAAAAATTTTAGATTAACCACGCGTCAGACCCACTGTAAACGGTTAATAACCGCCTTTATGGACTAGGCCTCTGCCCTCCATCTTTGTGCGAACAGGAGGGGCGGGGACGCCAGGTGTACCCGGCCGGCCCAGACGCGGCGGGTGGATACAGGCCCCCAACCCCAACAGTCAAGTTTTCAAAAAGCCCGCGCCTGGAGCCCCAGGCCGTATCCGTTGGGAACGGCCCCCAGCGCGCCCCTCATTCCCTCCCCTGTCAAGCCGTAGACGGGAGGAGGCGCGGGGGTGACAGGCAGGCTCTGCACACAGGGGGCGCCGGGGGAAGCGCGCACCGGGGAGCGCGCCCGTCCAGCGGTCGCCGAAAACGGAAGTGGGTGCAAGGGGATCGCGGTGATTGGCTGAACTGACATGTCTCTCAAGGGGCTGGCGCGAACGCCACTGCGGAGTTGGGCGAGGGGATAAGGAAAGGGGAGGGGGAGAATCAGTGGGAACAGCCGCGAGGCTGGAAGGAAATGAACCGTGGAGGTGCGCAGAGCGCAGGAAGAGTCCCTCGTCCTGGTACACTGGGACTACAGGGAATGAAAGCCGGGCGGTACGAAAAGCGATGGAAACAGAGCAGGCCCAAGGCTTGAATAGACCGCGGAGGGCGGGGAGTCCGTGATCGAGAGCGGCGCTGCGGCGCGGTAGGCGGGACTAAGGAGAACGAGGCGGGGATTGGCTGGTAGCCCTGGGCTACCGTACGTCGCTGGTGACGCACGCCTCGGGGAGGGTGCGCGCGCGTTCAGCGGCCTCTTTGTGTGGTGCCCAGATTGGGGAGCGGAGGTGGCGGTAGCGGCGGCCTTGGTTGTCTTCCAGTCTCCTCGGCTCGCCCTCTAGCCGGCACCTCTCCCCTTCCCTCCCCCTTCCTCTTCTCCTTCCTTCCCTCCCCTTCCCTTCCTCCCTTCCCCGTCGGTGGCGGCTCCAGCAACGGCTGGGCCCGAGCTGTGAAGAGGCCTCCGCTAACGATAACGGCGGCGACGGCGAAACCTCGGAGCTCGCAGGGCGGGGGGAAGGCCCGAGCGGTGGAGATGGAGAATTCCCAGTTGTGTAAGCTGTTCATCGGCGGCCTCAATGTGCAGACGAGTGAGTCGGGCCTGCGCGGCCACTTTGAGGCCTTTGGGACTCTGACGGACTGCGTGGTGGTGGTGAACCCCCAGACCAAGCGCTCCCGTTGCTTCGGCTTCGTGACCTACTCCAATGTGGAGGAGGCCGACGCCGCCATGGCCGCCTCGCCCCACGCCGTGGACGGCAACACGGTGGAGCTGAAGCGGGCGGTGTCCCGGGAGGATTCGGCGAGGCCCGGCGCCCACGCCAAGGTTAAGAAGCTCTTTGTCGGTGGCCTTAAGGGAGACGTGGCCGAGGGCGACCTGATCGAGCACTTCTCGCAGTTCGGCACAGTGGAGAAGGCCGAGATCATTGCCGACAAGCAGTCGGGCAAGAAGCGCGGCTTCGGCTTCGTGTATTTCCAGAACCACGACGCGGCTGACAAGGCCGCGGTGGTCAAGTTCCACCCCATCCAGGGCCACCGCGTGGAGGTGAAGAAGGCGGTCCCCAAGGAGGATATCCACGCCGGCGGCGGCGGCGGCTCTCGCTCCTCCCGCGGTGGTCGCGGCGGCCGGGGCCGCGGCGGTGGGCGAGACCAGAACGGCCTGTCCAAGGGCGGCGGCGGCGGTTACAACAGCTACGGAGGTTACGGCGGTGGCGGCGGTGGCTACAACGCCTACGGAGGCGGCGGAGGCGGCTCGTCCTACGGGGGAAGCGACTACGGGAACGGATTCGGCGGCTTCGGCAGCTACAGCCAGCACCAGTCCTCCTACGGGCCGATGAAGAGCGGCGGAGGCGGAGGCGGAGGCAGCAGCTGGGGCGGTCGCAGTAACAGTGGACCTTACAGAGGCGGCTATGGCGGTGGGGGTGGCTATGGAGGCAGCTCCTTCTAAAAAATTGAAAATGTCTGGGAGTGGCTATAGGGGTAGCTCTTTTCAACAACCCAGGTGGGGTCAACTCCTAAGTCCCTTCCCCCTCCCACCGCCTTCTCCTTTTTGCCCTTGGGGGAGCCGCTTCTAAGGCTGCTAACCCTTGGGGGGTGTTCCCCTGTTTGCCTGCCACCTCTCTTGTCTCTCCCTGCGAGAATGGACTCGGCCCCACATACACATTTTTGTGTTACAGTCATTGATGGACTCTATTTTTTTATTATTACTTGGACCTTGGTCGTTTTTATACTAGCAAAATGTCTTGTTTTAATTTGTGTTTTTTTTTTGGGGGGGGGGGGGGGGGGGACTTGCTGATTTCGGAGGAAAAACTGGGGGGGGGGTTGGGGGGGGGGGGGTAGTTTACTTTGTTGTAAGGACTTGATACCTGGCTACAGCGTTTTCTATGAAACCTACTTGGATCCCATGCCTGAAATTTGGAAGCATATGTAAAAAAATCATTTTTACGTTTTATTTTTAATAAATCATTGTGTTTGACCGTACATGTCCAACATTTTTTTTCTAGGATCCATTCCGTACCGTTTTAAGGGATATTAGTTGAGATTTTTCGTGTTAATTCTTGATGTGTACTTTGAGAAACTTAAAAGGTCCTGTGGGTTTTTTTTTTTTTTTTTCTTTTTCCCGTTGCCCTGCTAGTGACTTGTTGAATTTTATCCCTTACAGGCAAAACTTTTAAAGTGGTGGATGTAGCTTTTAAAAAATCTTAGTTTATGTGCATCCATCTCTTGTACTAAGCGATTTGCTTATCATCTTGCCATGGTTGGTCACTTTCTATGAGAATTTACTTAAAAGTATGTACTGTGTAGTTCTAAACGAAATAGTTTGTGTTAAGCATGTGTTTTCATTCATACAAACTGTTTAAAATTTTTCAGATGGCCTAGTTTCATCCCTTTTATTGGTTTGTCTGTAATGAATGGTTACAAATAAGGGTTATATTTTACCCTCACTAAATGCATTTTTGTATTTTCAGAGCAGGTTTAAAAACGTTTTTTTCCTATAACTGAACTGTTGTCTTCATGAAAATCCTTCTCCCAGTCTTTGTAGCACCATCTAATGGCAGAATGACAGTATAGCTGTAAAATAATTTGTTAAATCTGTTCAGGACAATTGCATCAGATTTAGAAGGTTTGCCATCAAAAATCTGTGCAAACTTGGAAGTTACATATTTACTTGTAACTAAGTTGGGCTTCACAGAAATGTAGTTATGAGTCCCTATCACAGTCGCCCTTATTTTACATGAGATTTGAAAATGTAAACTGCTATACATAGCTTGGGCAGAAGCCCCAAATTGCTATGACAACTAATGAACCAGCTGTGTGTACTGGTATCTTAGGTGCAAGTTGTAAATCAAAATATCTGTGTTCTGCTTGGTTAACAAATGTATATTTGTAGCCCTTTCATGCGATAGAATTCAAGTTGTTGTTTATAAAAAAAAAAAAAAAAAAAAACATAGGAGAAAACTGCCTTCCTGGATAGAAATCTAGAATAGCAACGTTTATGGATATCACAAATAAAGAATTCAATTCTTTACATGATTGAGTGAGAGTATGTATAACCTGGTGGGTGGGTTCAGAGTGACTATTAATTTAGTGTACTTAACTTGATTTTTATGTTAGCTTAAAATATTAGACTCATCTTGAAGTTGGAAGCCCAAAGCTATATTCTAAGAAACTTTCTGGAAAGGAGAAAACTGGGTTTTAAAGTATAAGAATATTTTAATGTTCACACATTTTTAATTATTGTCACTAATTCCCAAGGTCTAATACTTGCCAAAATTTTTAAAATTGTTGTGGCTTTACTTTTAAAGAGATGATTGGTAGTCTAGGTTATGGCTTCTGGATAGTTGCTTTGACAAAGGATGGCTGATGCTTGGCACAAATATAGATGTACCTCTGACAAATGGGATAGGTGTTTGTTCATTGAGAGAAGTTAAAAAAAAAAATTGAAATCTTTTGCTGTCAAATAGTTATACAGTTTCCTTAGATTTCTGCTTTATTTTTTTACACATAGGCTATGCTTGATAATTTGGTCTAGCTTCATTTGGGGCCACTAGGATTCAGAAAATGATTTGCTTAAAATTTTCAATGTTTGTTGTTAAGCATTTTCCTTGACTTAATTTTGGTGGAAAGACCTACTTCTGGATCAGTTGGAATAGTTTATTTTTTGGAGGTTTTTTTAGTCTAATAAGCATATTGTCACTTTGTAGTCCCAGAATAATGACACATAAAAAATTGGCAAATGAATTATGTAAAAAGATGTCCTGTTAATTAGAAAATCAACCTATTCTGTTTGTGGTATATTAACATTTTGGTATCATGTCTACCCTTAAAAATTTCTATAACCTGGACTGGCATCTAATGAAGGAAAAAACATAGTGATATTTTTTCTTTCTTGGTTTCGATTTGTGAGTTTTTATGTGGATGTTTTTGGAATGTGGTGCTTTTTGGATGAGTGAATGGGTGGGTCAACTTTTTTTTTTTCCTTATGGGAACTAATCACAACATCAGATTCAAGAATCAATGGTAGGAGGTGGTGCAGAACATGGCCAATATTGAGTACAATTTTTGTGCCTTAAATTTAATTTGGGAGATAAATTAAAAATGAATCTCTTTGTCTTAATGTAAATATTTTTGTTTTCGTTACTTTTTTTAGTGTAAATTCTGAAGTAATCTGTTGAAAGTAGTGTAAAGGCTTTTTAAAGATGGTAATGATTTCAAGTCTTAGTTTACAAATGGCTAAGGTTTGTAGAGCTAACTCAAATTTGAATGAGTACACTAATTGTTTCTTTCTGTAACAGTGATTTTGAACATACCTTTCATATTTAAACCCAATTCAGTTATTTTTGTTTTTAGGAAGGTTAAAGGATTAAGGATGCTTGAGAATTTTGAATTTATGATTCTCCCAAGACTAGAAGTAATAGTGTCAGTTGTTTGGTTTGTAGGTTTATTTACCTTTTAAGTGTGTTTAAGCTTCTCAAATTTGCATTTTAAGTTAAATTTGATTTTTGTGTTTGCTGGTTGAAAGTGGGTTTTTGGATTCTAGATTGGTTTGAGAATGACTGCATCTAGACAGTATATGGATTTTACCCCCAAAGACAACATTTGTCCTTAAGAGTAAGTCTCTTTCATACTAACCATTTTATCACTGTTACAGTATGATCTCTTTGGGAAAAATTTCCTCTCAGTTCTGTTTTGGCCTTTTGAAACAGGGCAGTGAAGACCAGGAATGCTTTTTCCTTAGTGTCTTTTTGCAGGTTACTTAGATGTGTGGTTGTCTCATGAAAAAACATTATGTATATTTTTCCCAAGTAAAAAGTTCCTTGAAGGGGCTGAGGATGTACTTCCTTGAAAGTGCATAAGGCCTAAAAAATGTATTTTCTACTTTTGTCATTTAAAAAATTGCATAACATTTGGATTGCATTTCAAGTCACAGAAAATATTTCAGTATTGCTAGGGAACATAAAACACCGAAACCTCACTGCTTTTTAGAGCTGGTCTATATTTTAAAGTAAAATTCAATAACTGCTTGTAAAACAGATTGAAAAAGCAAGTAGTCCTACTAATATGAGCAAATCTCTTTCCTGGGTAATCATTATTAGGTGTATAACCAGCTACATCCTTTTTGTGTGCACCTACGGTAATATTTTTGCTGTTTATATCAAACATTCTTGCATATCAAGACAAGTAGACCTATTAATGCCTGTATAATGTTCCATAGCATAGTTTCTGCTATAACTTAGAATATTCTGTTGGTAGACTTTGCTTCTTCCATTTCTTGCTATTTTAAAACATGAGGTGATGGTTAGCCTTGCAGCTGTGTTCTTTCTCATCAATTGTATACTTCTTAGTTGATGCAATAGCTACTAAAGTTAAATGTGCTAGATAATGAGAATCAGCATTTCTCAATACAAGTGTTTTTCAAATCCTAGTATATACAAAATGTACATATTTATTTGTGGCTTTTAAAAAGCCTTGGTAAATGCAATTAAATTTACTGCAAATTTTCAAAATTTTACTGAAAAAATTTCAAAGCTAGATCATATATAATAATACAGTATTAGTGACCTATGACAACCATTGTATTGCTATTTTCCCCTTTTGTTTTCTTCAGTAGTTTTCCTGCATAGTATTTCTCAATTTCTCCATATGAAGAATAGTATTGAGAGTTTGTATGTGCCTTGCACTGTGGTAAGTACTTGATATGCATCATTTCACTTATTTTTGTTCCCAGTAATTCTAGGAAGGAAACCTGTTCTATTTTGCATAATTGTATATGAACCCTCAGATTCATATACAGACTTAAAACTTAGGTAATTTACTCAAGATTGTGAGAATAAGAAAAGATCTTTTAGCTTAGCTTTTAACTTGCAGTGTCTAGAAATAACCTTTATTTGGTTTGTTTTCTTATAGAGCTTATTTTCATATATATAGTCTTTTGTAGAACAAAACTAGGATCATTTTATATATATATATTATTCATATGCATAAATGTATATTTTACATCAAAGACATCTTTACCTGTACATATTACTCTTTTACCTGTGTGGTCTTCTGTAGCCTAGCTACACCATGATTTATTGATAAGCACATTTTGGTTTTTCTTCCACTTATAATTTAAAGCTCCTTTTGCAGTATTTGGATTACCATTTTAGAACAAAACAAAGAGGAAAAAAACCCTTGGCCAAACCCATTTGTTATAGTGGTGTCCAGGAAATCTGTGAGAGCCCCACAAGAAATTTTGGGTATTTTGTAGTCTTTTTTTAAGATTTTTTTTTAACATTTTTGTTTTTAGTTGTGGATGGACACTAGTTTTATTTCTTTTTATTTATTTATTTTTTTATGTGGCACTGAGGATTGAACCTAGTGACTCGTGCATATGAGGCAAGTGCTCAACCACTGAGCTACAACCCCAGCTCCTACAGTCTTTATATTTTAATTTTGTGTTATAATTTTCCCCCCAAATTTTTGTTTTCATTTTTTTATGAGACTTAATTTAAGAGCATAACTTGTTTCCATTAAAAACAAGCCTTAGTACTCTTATTTTCTGAAGGGATTATACATGGAGGTTTGGGATTATTTTATAAGTAGGCATATGCCATTTGTTCTTCTATTTTATCCTCAAAATTTATGGCATGATATTCTAGTGGTGTGTTAATAGAGGGTTTTCAGTGCAGAAATTGTCTTTATTTAAATTTTAAATGATTTATTAAATATTCTCATGAAGCTCTCTTGAGAGAGCAAAGCAAACAGACTGGAAAGGGTATACTGGGAGAGGTTTCATCTGGATCAGAGGTGGACAACACCAAAATGTGAATTTCTAGTTGAAATGTGGATTCAGATCTTGCTTGTAACCTTGGTAAGTCAACTTATTTTCTCTGTTATATAATTGCTTAGGTCCTTTCCAACTTGATACTTTTGTTCTTTAGTCCTATTTGGTATTTATTAACAACCTTCAAGAGGAACTCTTAGATTCATTCTTAAAT